AGGCAAGCAGCATAGAAGTGACCTGCAGAGAGGAGCAAAAATGGATTTGTGACTTATTACTGAGTCATGACGGACAAAGGAGACCTGGAAGTTATTTTGTTCCTTCTTGTTATTAACGTTGAAGCCTTGCCTTCCTTGCCTTTTGCTGGAGGACCAGAGAACTGGTGTGGGAGTTTTCTCATCCCCCAGTGGAATGGACAGGATGTATTTTTCAGGGAGAGCATTCACTCCAAGTGTTTTGCAGGAGTCTACGTTAAATTGGTGTGAACAAAAATAGAGGCAAACTAACGAGTTTTAAACAGTCTGACTAACAATCCCTTTTCCTCTCAATTGCTCAGGTTACAGGTCTCTTGTGATGTCGTAATCTCATTAGTTCTCCAAGCAGTTCTCCAGGAAAACCAGGGAAGGCAATGTCTGATATTTCTAATGTTCAAAAAGACAGTTTAAAACACCAGGTAACCCCCTCTTTGAGTAAACGGGCGGCTTTTCAGGGCTTTAGGCAGCATAAAGAAGCAAACAAAGCCCATACCCATTGTTTCCTTTGCAGATCAGGTTTCAATAAACAGGGTCGTACTGAGGGGGAGGAGCCAAGGGGCATGAGGGGACCACATAGGCAGTGGGCTTGTGCTAGGGTTGGTGATGGTGTGTCACTGTAGTTCTGTGCTTCCCTGCCCAGCTGCAGTAGCTACTCAGAGCAACTCCCTCTCCGTCCTCCTAATGCTGCTGCCTCTCTCACCACAGCAGCTTGAGAGCAGTATCCCTGCTTTCCAGAAAATGGAGCAGAGTGCATCTGCCGTTGCTTTTGATAGAGCACTGAGATCTGCAGAGACCTCGGCTCCTAACATCATGCATTGCAGCTTAACATTGCATTATGGGGTTCAGCTCCTGTCCCCGCTGCTTTGATGGCAGAAAGGGGACAAAACAGCCTCCTGGGGAATATCTTCAATACAGGGCTGGCATAGACCCCCATGTGCAGCCCCTGCCATAAGAGACTGCTGGCGAGTAGCCAGAGATGGTAAGGGGAGTCATTCCAAGAATTCTGAGCTTCAGAGAAGCCCATTAACAACTGTAGCCAACTTCTGTAAGTTAGAGCAGACCCTGGGGCTGTCCTAACTCATGCTAGGAGCTGTGCTGTCTGCAGGGGCAGCCCAGAATCCTGTGTGTGCAAAGGAGGTATAAAGCCCCCTTTGCCCTCCCCCTGCTTGTGCTGCACGACCCAAGGCAAGTACAGAATCTCTTCCCTGGACTTGTAGCCTGTGAGCCCACAAAGGTGAGGGTACCTGTCGACCCCACTGGAGAACTCTGCAGCCTGTACTAGGAATTAGGTAGAGAAGTTGCTGTGCACGTGGAGCAGCCCGATGAGGTGACAGACTAGTAAGTGTTACGGCCTGTTGAGGAGAGAATGTGTATCTTCTAAATGAGAAACTGTGTCATGTTTCCCCCCCGAGGAGTAGCTCAGGTCTAATGACTGTGTGAGAACAAACCACTGCACAGTAGCCTAAATCTTAATTTCCCCAGAGAGAGGCCATTCTGGGCTCCGGCTTCAGTCACTTCCAGGACATGCTGTTTCTTTCCACTAGCCATGGGCATTCAGAGCTGAGACACTGCTCCCAATGGTACTGTGCTGCAGACCAGTTCAGAGGTCACCCTCCCTTCTCAGCTCAGGATTTTGGGTCCTGTCCTGATTTAAAGGGCACGGTCTGAGCCGTGTCTCTGAATGCTCTGCCTTGGGCTGGTTTGTGTTTCATGATTGAAATGCAGCTGGCCGGGTGGGTCTCTATGAATAGCACATGTGAGTCACTCGCTGGGATTCTTATGGAGCGGCCGTGCCTGGTTTCAGGCTGTGGCTGCACTAACATGCTCTTTGCCCTAACGCTTCTCCGAGGGAGCTGCTGGTGGCAATGTCACTCCTTTCGAGAGAGCTCTGCCCTTCCGACTGAGCCCGCCTGTAGCCTGGCTCCTCCGTCCAGTGTCTATTCCCAGAACTGCTGACTTCTCTAGAACTGTGGCTGTGTTACTTCCGTCAGCTTTCTGCTAGCCTGACCGGGCAGCAATACTAGCAGGTATGGATTTAAGAACAAAAGCCCAGTGAGCATGTGAACTAGGGAGTTTGGAGGGGAGGAACCAGTGTGGGGTTAGGGTAGGGATGAGGTGGTACAATTGGAGAAGTAGCCAAGACCAGGTGGGTTGGGGAGTGGCAAGATTGCACCTGAAGACGAAGGCAGTCCTGGTGCAGGTTGGAAGCTGCTGGCTTCTCTAATCACCCCTCCTTTGGCCTCTCTTCTGATCTCCCACCCCCCCAGTAGCCTCCCACTGTTTTACACACACACACAGCCAACCAACCCATTTCTGTTTTAGATTAAAAAAAGAGAAAGAACCAATGTAATGTTGTTTGTGAGAGAGAGAGCACGGTGTACGTGTCTCAGGGTAACTGCAGCCACGGTGAGCTGCCTCAGAGCAATGACCCCACTGGAGGTTTCCTACTTAGGTACAGTCCGCAGAAAATGGAAGAATACATTTGCTTATTCCTGTGTCACCTAAAGAATCTGTCAGCTCACTGCTCCAGGCAGGCATGCTTTCTGTCACCAGTTTCCTGTTAGAAGCAGTGCTATACTGAACTAGTGTCTCTTTTCCAGTCTCAGTGCCTCTAGTGTCAAGGTGCAAACCCTGCACCATGTCTGCTTCTGAGATAGACGCATATTACACCTCTACCCCGTTATAACACAACCCGATATAACACGGGTTCGCATATAGTGTGGTAGCAGCGGGGCTCTGGCGGCGCTTTAAAGGGCCCGGGGCTCTGGCTGCTGTGGGGAGCCCCGGGCCCTTTAAATCACCACTGGAGCCCTGCCCCGCTACCCCGATATAACGGCGTTTCACCTATAACGCGGTAGGGATTTTTGACTCCCCACGACCGCGTTATATTGGGGTAGAGGTGTAGCTGTGGATTGATGGCTTGGCTGCCTGCTTGTTGGCTTGATTGGCTTTATCTCTTTCAGGCATTCAAGAACTTTGAACACCTGGCCCGTCAGGATGATGAGAAGAGGCAGCGGGAGCTTGTGGAGAAGATGAGGAAAAGGGAGGAGGAAGCGGCAGCGGAGAGGATGAAAGTGCCTGCTGTAGCTCAGGAAGTTGAGATCCACTCGGCACCAGAGCCAGTCCCTGGCCCAGATGATGGGGCTGCCACCAGGCCTCAAGAGCCCACTGCAGCAGAGGAGACAGCCGAAGCGGTGGACAGCTCTGCGGCCGCAGAGCCACCAGGAGCAGCTGCCCCAGTGGAGTCCCAGCCATCAGCATTGCCCAAGTAAGGGTCTCTTGTTATGGTACTTCCCTTGTGTCCGTTGCAAGCCTAAGCAGCTCATTCTGAATAGAGTCTAGTCCTCAGTCCTAGCTCACGAGGTGATGGGGTTGTGGGAAGGCTGCACTTCTCCAGGGTGGTGTTTAGATTCTTCCCAACAGAGATAATTGTGTTGTGGGGACAAAGGGCAGCCCTAGCCTTGTCAGGCCCATCAGTCAGAGGAGGTGACATGGATTCACAGAAGCATGGCAGAGTCTTCAGATTTGGTTTCCTTTGCTCCTTTCTGGGCACTTTAGTCTGTCTGCTCTCTTCTCTCCTCTAAGCAGAGGAGGTGGTCTGTTAGCACCTCCCTCTTCACAACACTGCAGTACAATTGTTTGCTCAGCCAAGTCGCTAGGCCTTCCTCCCCCATGGTCAGCTCACACACAGTCGAGACAAGGCCACAAAGCATCTTTTCTCCCAATATGGGATGTGGTACTGCTTGTGCATCTCCACGGACTCTACTACTTGACTGTGTTTCAGTGCATTCAGGGAAAACATTGTCAGCTATCCCATAATGCCTCGGGAAGTTAGGTGCCCAACTCCCATTGCTTTCAAACTCCCTCAGTCCTCCTTGAGCACTCTGGCCATGCACCGAGAGCAGAGACACGTGGGGCAGTTCACTCTGAGAGGTTACCACACAGAGAACTGGGAGCAGGGAGGACCAGCCAAACTGGTTATACCAGCGCAGTTAGGGTCCAACTTCACAGCAAAACAAATGACCTTGTCCCAGCCTAGGCTGCAGGCCTGGGTGCACACCAGCTGATTAATCAAGCCATATATAAAGCTGATTGTTTCACTCCTTTGTATGAGCTGCAGTGTCAATGGGACCAGAAGGTCAGGTTGTTTTCTTTTGTTCCTTGGGGTTTCTCTCTCCCCGGTGGAAGATCTCCCTGGCTCAGGCCAAGGCCAGCGCATACATTCCAGAGCAAAGCTGAACTCTCTTCATTTTTGAACTGGCCAGTTTTTAAAACCTCTGTGCAGATGTCTGTTACCCCTGTGTGAGTGAGGAGCATTCTGCTGGCCTGGGCTCTCCTAAAACAATGGCAAATGACCCTTTGCAAGGCTAAGTCAAAATGTCTCCCCTTTTCTAGAGTGATTTTGTGGGGAGGAGCTGTGTCTGTTTCAGCTGGGCTCTGCTCCTAGTAATACCCACTTGTCACTCTGGAGGAGCTGTTCTAGAATGTTGAGTGATCTAGAAGCACAGCTACTGCCGGGAATATATCAGGGCAGATTCTTTGGATAGCTGGCTGCCCTGCCCAGCCCATACAAACCACAAAGACCAGGGGATGTGAGGCTGGTGGAGAGGGATTGGATGGTACAGGGGACAGATGATGGCATATAAAGCATTTTGCCTCTAGATCAGCCATTCAGATCTAGAGCAGATTAACAAGTGAAAGTTGTTACCAGCTGGTGGCTCTTTAACTGCCTTTGTGAAATGAAATTCAGTATGATAATTAATGGACAGGTGTCCACTTCATAACAGGGCCTGTGTGGTCCCCTTTACTGACATCCTCCTAAGAGATGCCAAGGATCGAATGGGCCACAGCAATGTCAGGCCGGTTAGGCAGGGGCAGTTTGCACTTCTCTTGCCTGGGCTGTCCCGGTGACAGGGGCTGTCAATCTCCGGTATCCATTCAGTACCTTTCAGCAGCACTAAATTAACGGTAAACAGCAAAGAAGCGTTAATAAGACACCAGGCTAATGAAGTATTAAAGGCCATACGTGAGTCTCTCTGGGCTGAATATTTCCGTCTAATCCTCAGGGATGGGGATGTTCCATGTTTCTTTCTGAGGAGACAATGCCAGAAGAAAGAACGGAAGAAAAGGATTACCATATGTCACGGACTCACAGATCGTGCCCACTCTTGGCCCCGTGCGGTCCGTGGGGGGTGCCCCTTTTAGTGAGACAGCCCTTCTCGGGGGTCCACTCTCTCTCGGGGTCAGGCCCCTCCACCTCCTGGATCCGCACCTCTCGGAGCCCTAGCACACCTGTTTCTCGCCGTGGGCCCCCTCAGGGAGTCCACTCGCTCTGGACCCCCTGGGCCTCCACCCCCAAAGGGGTTGATGCAACCCTGTTCTCTAGACCGGAGTGACTCTCAGCCAGCATAAAACAGGAGGGTTTATTGAGAGTTGAACACAGCACAGGAAACTCTCAGGGCCTCAGGCCTGGCCTCCCTCAGCCCAGCACACCCCAGTCTCTCTGCATCCAGGTGGGCTCTGCCTTCTCCCCCTCTCCAGCCCAGAGCCCCCCTGCTCCCAGCTGGGCATCTGAGATCACCGGCCCCAGGCCCCGCCTCTGTCCATTGTCTTCTCTCCAGGTAAACAGGGTCGTAAACTGGGGCCTCCTCTCCGCTTCTGTCCTCTGGCTGGAACCGGCTGGTTAGGTCACTGGGTCCTCACTCTGCAGCCCGTTGTCCGCCCACTGGCCAGAACCGGCTGCGTCTCCTCAGCTGGACCTCCGGGTCACCAGGTCACCGGTCTCTGGGGTATCCGTCCTCCCCGCCATCGTCTGGGTCCCCAAGTCCTCTCTCTGGTCCTCTGCAAAACAAACTCCCTCTCCCCTCACCTCGTTAAACCAGTAACACCCAGGGAAACTGAGTCCCACCCCCTCCGCATGCAAACCATTGAAACTCCACAGAAAACAAGAAACCCCCCCACTTCGTCACACCATAACTCTGCGTTTTTTGGCTCTTATAGTGGGGTGTGTGTGTCTGATCCTTAATGTACCTTTCCTGTGGTTTGAGAGAGCTGCTGTATGAGTGGTGGATCCAGAATGTATAGCCTTCCCTGCCCCTCCAGTGACTTTATATTGTGTCTATTAAAACGTTGTTATTGGGGGTGGAAGGCAAATGTCCAGCTCCTCATATCATGGCCTTCTGCCCCGCCTCCCCAACCCAGAGCACACGGACCATTTCATTCTTATGAGTCTGGGTGCTAAGAGTTCAAGGCATAGCAGGCTGGGCTCATTTTCAATCCCCTGGCATCCCTCAAGAGCAGAGCCACCACCCAAAGGCAGGCCAAGGGTAGTGTGACACTGCCAGGACTCCCAGAGATGGAGAAAGATGGTTTTTCCCCCCCTTGTCTGTGCTTTTTCTTCCTATTTCTACCCAAGCAACAGTGTGTTTGGCAGGACCATCCCCTCATCAGCAGATCAGAATATTGCAGGCAAAGGATTATGGGAAGTCCTTGCATCGTTGTCTCCAAACGCTGTCTCTTTGGTAGAGGAAAGGCATGAAAAGCGAAAGGCCTTGCATTGCAGTAAAGTCCCTCCTATTCCCCCCACCCCTGTTTATTGCAGTTTGAAAAGCTGCTGTACATGCGCTGGCTGCAGTGGAGAGGAAGCTTCTCCAGCACAGTGGGTTGTGTTGATTTTTATCCCCTTACAGCATGCCACGGTTTCACAGCAGGGCTGGCATGCGTGTAACGAGGGAACAAGCTGAAAGGGCTGGTTGTGTTGATGAGTGCCTGGAGTGGCTTTCCTCTTAGGAGCGCTACAAATAGGTCTCCAGAGCCTTTTGGTGCTTCAGGATAGGGCAGGTGGAACAGTGTGTTTTTGCCAGCACAGTCTAACTAGCTTGCATGCTGAGTTTGTGCAGCAGCAAGTGGAAGGATGGGACAGAGCGATCCCTGGGAGCTGGAACCAAGTGGCTGAGCGGATTGGTGACAGCCAGTGAGCCTTCCACCTCTAGGTTTCCTGGGTAAACGTGATGTATGTCGGTAATGAATGAGGCCAGTGAGGAAAGGCCATTGGAAAGAGAGAGGCTGATCAACTTGATTCTAGTGAGGAGTCTGACCCAAGACATCTTTGATCCACATAAAAGAACCAGGTGGCCTTCTGCCTCCTGGTTGCTAGGACAGAGGATGTGAAGCAGGAGTGCACCCTGAGGGCTGCTGGGTTAGTCCCATGTGGGACCAAATGCAGTAAGGATGGGAAGATTAGAAAGGAACAAGAGCTTCAGGGAAGTAGAAAGAGAACAGAAGAAAAGAACGATGTTCTGCTGCCAGAGTTATAGTTGTCCCGTGCATAAAAGCTTCATTCTTCCAGGCTGTCAGTCTGGCACCGTTCACTAGCATGAAATTTGCAAAAAAACCGGTTAGAAGTGGCAGATCCCTTGAGCCTGCCATGCAGCCGCTGCCCTGCCTAGCGTGGCTAAAACCGACTCTTTCTAAAAATACATCTGAAAAATTAAATCTGTGTGCAAAAAAAGACCTGAATGCAAGTTACTGGCACTCAGGTTTAATTTCAGATTTATTGTGTTAATAGTCTGTGGGACTAAGGTTTGACTTTCTGAGTTGTCCTCTTGCTATAAGGACAGTAGTTGCTGGGAGTAATGAGTATGTAAGGGTGGGTACTTAAGGCCCCATAAACAAAAGTCCTATGAACAAATGTCTGGACTGGGGAAAATAAGCAAGACGAATTAGAAGCGATACTAAGGGAAGGAGATTGATGCAGTGGGCATAGGATGCATCTTGTTATGGATGTGTGTGAGCTGATGGGTACAGTGTCTGTTGGAGAGACTAAAAGAGCAGGCCCACCCCTGCCTAGCTGAGGCTTGGAATGAGCATGCTACAGCAGTGTTCTGTGAGCAGCACTTGTGTCCAAGAGCAATTGAAGTTGTTGGCTTTAATTTCTCAAGTCCAATGGTGTGTGACCTCAGGGACAAACTCTCCCTGTGCAACCTCATGATGTCTAAGACCAGTTGGGTCTGTCTTTTTGACCGCCTGATAAATTTGGGTTCAAGGGCTGGCCCTGGAGCTTCCATCCCATATGGGATAGTCAGATGTTTAAACAGTGTGGTTGAGCTAAGTATCCAGCAAACGGGTTGGGCTGGGCTGTCTAGTGGGTGCTGTAGTTTCAGTGCCACTGGACCTGGGCTGAGCCTTCAGGATCTTCAGGGAACTCTACAGCAGAGCCAATGAATTTGTCTACAGCTCCTGGCTGCTGTGAGGTCTGTGTGGCTAGTG